TCGGGCAAAAGTTTGAAGAACTTTTTCAAAGCTCTGCTGAGGCCCAGCCTGGTTCCCCGGGTATGCTGCGTTGGCGCTACACTTTGACATATATTTTGAAGTGCTGACAAAAATCATAAACCTTTTCAAACAAAATTATCAAAATACCCACTTGGGGAGGGACTTGGCTATATGAAGTCCCAGTGCCCGATCTCCTCTACCCTATGTACATTCATTTTGCAACTTATTGCACACACACACATGCAAAGGTACGTCAATTATTCACCGAAACAAACACGGGAACTATGGTACTAGTCAAAATAGGGAACAGCATCGTACATTTTTGAAAGCTTTACTTAGGCCCAGCCTGGTTCCCTGGGCATGCTGCGCTGGCGCTACACTCTGTGTGCAGCATGCCCAGGGAACCAGGCTGTGAATGCTGTACCCTTAATCGAACACCTTTTGAGCATGAGTCGCATGGTGCTCTTTGAAATCTTCATTGTACCTTAAATGTTGTGAAATGTAGACAGCCAAAGGCTGGAGCTGCTGGAATATTACTGGAAAGGCTGGGTTTTTTCAGTATTCCTCCTTACAGACATATATTGTGAAGCGCTGACTGAAAACATATTCTGTTTCCAACAGGAATCTCAGGACCCCTCCCCTCCCACTTGGGAAGGAAATTGGCTATTTGAATTTTATTGCAGGATATCGGATCATCCATGTACCTCTTACCTTAGGCCAAATTACTTTGTTTGGATTCTGTCAGTCCGAGCCGAAATACGGATTAAAATTCATTAAAAAAACAGATCAGCAAGGAGGGGAGCACGATCGGTGCCCATGGGGATGCCTACTTCTTGCCTGAACGTCTTACCACAAACTTTACATAGTCGTTATGCGTTGGTGTAGTCCCAGTGCGCGATCTACTATACCCTATGTACATTCATTTGGCAACTTATTGCAAAGGTGAAATCTGCTCAGAATGACAGGATTTCTTCGGAGTTTAATCAACACAAATATCATCTATTTTACGAAGTTCTGAATACGTAAGCACATAATATATAATAAATGCTAATCTACATTGATAATACAGTTACAATACGAATACCTGAACAACGCAACTATAACTGATAAAACAATTGACTTAACCAATGTAGATGTTATTGTAAAATGTAACTTACATGGACTTTTTGTTTAAGATATAATCCACTTATACAGCCAAGAAGCACACTATTCTTTTGCAAACTTGTTATCCTACGTTTAATAGTTAGCTACATGTTCAAATACCTTTACACAGCCCTCAATGCATTGGCCTATAAATAGAACGCCTGTTACCCCACTACATCGTCCCGGGGTAGTCACGTGATACAATAAGGAGGAAGGCAACCTGCGCGGAGAATGATATTAGTTTTGTACCGGCTCTCAATGGCAGAATGTGTACTTCCGAAGTGCTGTTGCATACAACATTATTCAGTATCAGATTTATTGGTATACACAATCCATATATGTCTATAGAATAATAAATTAGTCATAAAAGAATCTTACATAATCCCAAGGTAATGCCAACTAAATAACTCAGGTCCTTGGCTACCAAACAAGAAATGAAAATATTGTGAGTGAGTGAGTATGATTTTACGCCGCTTTTAGCAATATTCAAGCCATATCACGTTGGTCTACACCAGAAATGGGTTCACATATTGTACCCATGTCGGAAATCGAACCCGGGTCTTCGGCGTGACAAGCGAACGCTTTAACCACTAGGCTCCATGACCGCCCCAAATGATAAATATAACCCGAATAATCGTCAGAATGCTTATAATTTATTATGATTCTGTAAAGCAAACCAATGTTAACTAAAAGTCAAAATACCTCTGTGTAACAAAGTAGAGACAATTTATGGATGACAACTTCTTTATTTACTACATGAGACTGCATTGAACAAATTGGATGCAAATTGGAATGGCATCATTGATTCATGTGCGTCAAATTAAAATATATATAAAGTGCAGGACTCCTAACAAGCGTGTGTAAACGACCCATACTGCATGTTGGGTGGAAGAAAGAATTCCATGTACATTAACAGCCCATCCTTCCGGGTACCCATTCGTTGCTGGGCGGACAAAGACAAAAAAAAGATGGGATAATTATCAGCCTTCAGACATTTGTCAACCTGAATTGATGGTCATATTTAGTGCACAAAGATTGATATGAAACGATGGCTCCTCTCTGACCCGACCACTGTCCATCCCCATGCCTACTCCTACCCTCACACCGACTCCTGTATACACTAGCATCCCGAGCACGGGATGTGATGGTCCACTTCGCTCTCCTGAGAACACTGGATGGGAGGGTGTGCTGCCGTTCCTTGTTTGTAAATCAGAAAATAGAACCTTTAGCGTCGTTCAGTTTCTGCGTCTTCTGTCGGTCACTTGCCATTGTAATACGTATTACTTTGCCACGTTCCAATAATATTGTAGGTGCACATTTAGGTTTTAACACTGTGCCTCCACACCTGGTACCGCTGGGTCTATTCTCTCTCGAAGGCCGAAGGGTATAAACTAGCGGACAAAAGAAACGCCACCAAATAAATAAAGGTCGTCAGTTTTCAACAAATTTGCCATACGTTTGGTAACACATAGCTGGAATGCAACTTCCCTTTTCCCTGTAAACATGTGCACGTGCTTTACGTGCTTCACGAGAAAAGGGAATTTTATTACTAAAAATGCAATATGTGCACAAAGTTACCCGTAAGAAATTCTCGTGTAAAACATGAGCAGGATTGTACTCTCTCATCGAATGAAATCGTTACAAACAACAAACATGCCTCGACTAACTGCAGAGCAGTGGGAGAGAGCCATCGGTACGCTGCAAATGGGAGGGACGCAGGAGCACGTTGCCAGGATCATGGGCTGCTTCAAGTGCACCATCGCCAGACTTGTCACACGTCACAGGCAAACTGCAGTTCTGCAGACAGGCCGATGAGTGACGTCATCATCCACAAAGAGCCTTACACACCCAGTCGGCAGAAGGACCAACTGTACAGCAGTGGCAGCAGAATAAGTGTCGAAGAGTGCTCTTCAGCGACTTAAGTAGGTATCAGCTCTTCAAGTCTGATGGGCGGGTTCGAATCTACCGACGACGTGGTGAACGGACGGCACGTTGTTGCGTCCAAGAAGTGGAGCCTTCTGGAGGTGGTAGTGTCATGATCTGGGGTAGCATCTGCTAGAGACAGAAGACAGATGGTCATCAAAGACGGAAATCTTACTGCACGTCGTTACATTGATGAAGTTTTGCGGCCTGTGCTACTGCCTTTCCTGCAACGACACCCACGGACGCTGTTTCAGCAGGACAACGCCACCCCTCACACAGCTCGAGTCACTAGCGACTTTCTGAACGCCAACAACGTGACAGCAAGCCAGATCGCCGGATCTGTCGCCCATAGAGCAGCTCTGGGACCATCTTGGACGCAGGATTCGGAAACGGCAACAGCCGCCATTGACAAAGGATGCCTTGGCAATTGCCCTGGAGGAAGAATGGCGTAGGATTCCTTATCCGGATGTCAGCAGACTCGTGTACTCAGTTCGACGTGTTAGGGCCTGCATCGTTGCTGGAGTGTGTCACATCCGATATAGAGCCATGTGTGTAGCACGGGACTTTAAAAGAGATCGACGTCGATTCTGCGGGTGTGATGGAATACTGGGCAGTGATAAACTTTAAGTACGTGGTCTTTTATGTTGTCATTTTTAAATACCGTTTTGGAATAATTGTGGGTTTTTTTATATAATAAAGCATTAACTATAACTAACTTTTTCTTCTGGTTTGTTTCAGACCAGAAAGTTGTTTGGTGGTGTTTCTTTTGCACGTTGGTTTATTTAATAAAACATTCAACTCTCAACCCCTTTTCAGCCCTACCGGCCTGTATTAATCATCCCCTTTTCAACTCCAGACATTGAGAACATTTAGGGCTCCCTCATACTCGAGGGTTCCCTTGTATAATTAAGTTTATTTAACGTCATTCATAACTTTATTTCAGGGACTATATGTTAGCCAAGACACATACCCAGCTCCATCAGTGTTTGCTCTCTGTTCACACTGACACTGATCACCCCCCACCCTGGCAGCTCGAGCACTGCTGGTGTTGTTGGGCGGGGCCTTGGTGGCAGCTCTGGGTGGAACACACATGATATTTTGATCACCCAGCAGGCTCTCGTTTGTACACTGAACTGCTCGGTTATGAGGGGACGCTGATGCCATTGTAGGACTGAAAATACGATCAGAGGTTTTGCAGTATTTTACACGTTAATTCACTATGGACTTAGGGACAGATATACCAAGGAGCACGGCTGATTATAAGACGGGTTTTATTTTAATTAACAATAGACGAATATCAATTTTGGAAATATAGATTTGAAGTTTTGAAATACAGGTATCTGACAATCATATGGCTCACAAAAAGCTCTTTTTTGTGAGTGAGTGATTGAGTGAGTTTTTCGACACATTCAGTATTATCCCAACAATATCACTGGGGGAAACAACAAAATGTACCCATGTTGGGAATCGAACCCTGGTCTTCGGCGTGACGAGCAAACGTTTAAGTACTAAGCTGTCCCACATAAATATGTACTCTCCACAAGTTCGAAACTGAAATCATTATGAATCAAAGTTCTCTATTTCGGAGGGGCGGTCGGGTAGCCTAGTGGTTAAAGTGTTCGCTCGTCACGCCGAAGACCCAGGTTCGATTCCCGATATGGGTACAATGTGTGAAGGCCATTTCATGTGTCCCCCGCCGTGATATTGCTGGAATATTTCGAAAAGCGGCGTAAAACCATACTCACTCACTTACTCACTCACTCTCTTTCTATGAGGAACAAAAGGTTCAACAAATGTATGCCGAAAATATGAAACGTCATCGACAGTTTAATCACTCTCGATTATCCACCGAAACAGATTTAATTGGTCGTACAAAGCAACATAGCGGTAAAAATTAAATCAATGGATCACTGAAAATCAGTGATGATATCAGGTGTTCGCGAAAAGTGAAAGCATGTCATTCTAACAGTTGCACCCGCTACACCCAGTTTGTATAAATAGGTCAGTGTCTGTTCGTTGCCTGACGCCACACAGCAGTACTCCTGCAATGCAACTGCGGCCCGTGAACAGATAATCTTGCCCAGATATTCAAGTAGTCTTCTATGTCGTGTAACAGGTCTAATCCAGTTGGATATATCTGCATGTGTGTTTGTGTTTTATGTGTTCGGTCAGCTGTGAGCTGTTATTCGCGATAATTTGGACCATATTGCCAAGCCTTGGATTTAACAAGTACAGTTGTCTAGAGCTCATAATCAGTGGATTACCCGGACATTGCGTGTGGTATAATGCAGGTAGGATGTTACACACTATGTCCTGGCTTTGACTATATGGTGGCCATCGTGTATCACTCGTCATTACACATGATTAGCACCAGCATTATAATCCTATGTAAATTATGTGAATTAGTGTGAATGAAAATGTGAATGTGAAAATATTTTAGCTATTTTTGTATTAGATATATGAGTACATTTGTAAAAGTATGTAGTTGTACAAACAATGTAAATACTAGTACATGTGACACAAACAATGTGGTGGAAATGCTCGTTGGGATACGCTATACATGTATTGTCCGTGAACCATCATTTTGGTACCCGGTTTTTCACAATTTGACATTATGTGTGTCACACATGGTTGGTGCATGCATGACTCAAGGCCACTCTACACCCCTCGTTGTACCAACGGTGTCGGTATAGGCGAGAAATCATGTGTAACATGGAGGTTTTGGGTCAGAGGATAACGTTATATTATTCTGACGATGTACTGTGATTTGTAAACGTGAATGAGAAACACCCTTGATATATCTCCGTTCTTTCACAAAGAGAAAATTGCATTTAACTTGCATCTCACGAAGGACTTTACTCTGAACTCTCTGTCCTGATTAACGTTTATAAACCTGCAGATGAAGTGAAAAGGGGTTTAACGTAGCGTTATACGATTATTGCACTTAAATAGTGACGTGCATGCGCGTGTGTGTATGTGCATGCAAGTGTGAGTGCGTGCGTGCGTGTGTGCGTGCGTGCGTGCGTGCGTGCGTGTGTGTGTGACTTCTTGTACTAGTCCGGACTAATGCCAATTTTATAGTGCTAGCCCACTGTGATACTATGCCGCAGTATTACATGACTACTCAACACAGACACAGTATGATTATTAGTTCGTAATAACCAACTTTCGTCACATGATTGTGTGTTTAATGGAAAATAATTGTGAAAACCGGATGCCATAATGATGGTTGACGAACTATGACTTACTGAATGAAGCGGTTGTATAATATCACATACGTAAAGTATTTCTGGAAACCTTTTAAATTAGCTTCCCTCGACATAACACTAAGATAGCAAATAAATCATGTACAGCAAAAAGAGATACAACTTTATAACAAACCAACCTTATATAAGATAATCAAACCAATTTAGATTTTTAATATTTACCCAAATGAAGTTCATTCATGTTTATTGATAAAGTTCAAGTAACGAGAAACAATACAGAAGCGTTTTATACATTTGACGACGCTCGTAACAGGTGCACGCGGGATTGTCTAAAAATCTCAGGACACACTATGACACATTTTTTCAATCGGACTGTGAAATGTCAGAAAGATTCCCAATTACTGGGTCGATTTTACTGAAGTCTATACCCTCTGACTGGCGATACTGTTGCTCAATTTCAATAACATGTCTTTCAGCATTTTGTCATACATGATGGTCTATTCATTCTAATGAACTCATATTAAAGCTTGTACAACGTGCCGTGATCAGTTATCTGTTTGATAAACTTATGTCGTCTTGTAAACATTGATATCCTCATTTTAAACTGGTTTTGTATCCTTGGATGCATACACAATGCACGCTCATCCAGCCTGACAGCTTTTCTTGAGCTCTTATTGGGAGGCACACTTTCAGGAATCCTCAGATTATGGTAACTATCATTGTCCAGAAACAATCAGACATGGGTCATATAGATGTGGCAGTTGTTGATATTTGAACCACAGCTGCATGAACCCGTGAAGATCCAGGGTAGAATAGGTCTTCAGCAACCCATGCTTGCCGTAAAAGGCGACTATGCTTGTCGTAAAAGGCGACTAACGGGATCGGTTGGTCAGGTTCGCTGACTTGGTTGATGCATGTCATCGATCCCAATTGCGTGGATCGATGCTCATGGTGTCAATCACTGGATTGTCTGGTCCAGACTTGATTATTTACAGACCGCCGTCGTATAGCTGGAATACTGCGGCGTTAACCAACCAACCAACCACAGCTGCATGAAAGTCGTTCAATTTATTTCGCGATGATAATCAACATCATCAGACTTTGCCCCAAACACTAAATCATGTCCGTTTATTTAAACCCTTTCAGAAGTTTTGTTTGTTTGTTTGTTTGTTGTTAAACACGGCACTCAGCAATATTCCAGCTACATTACGGCGGTCTGTTAATACTCGAGTCTGGACCAGACAATCCAGTAGAAGAAGAATACAATATAGGAATACTATATACTATGCACATGCACAAATGTTCTTACAATATTCGTTCATCTTTTTTGACATTTGTATTTACATAGGTAAATGGCAGGTTTTGTATAACACAATCATTTCTGGTTGATAGAAGACTGAAGGATTTTGGGACAGATGGTTGTACATGGTAACATTTTGGAATTAAATTTTCTCTACTACTTTTATAAAAAGGACAAATTAACAAACAATGGTATTCATTTTCTATTTCATGGCGGTTACATTTCATACTTAAACTAACGATGACTTTGTGGTTGTATTAAATCGAGTTTACTGTACATTTAGATTATGGCTTAAACAACAGAATTTACATTGGGCTCTAAGAAGATCTCTTTCACATGCTAATGTAGACAGATATTTTTTCTGGTTCAAGTAGTGATTTATAAGATGAATAAACATCAAGGAAAGAAGAATTAGTGATTTTGTAGTGCCAGTTTTGGAATTCTATATCTTTGCATCGTTGTTTGAATATAACCATAGAGCATTTCATATCGCCGCAATCCCGAGACAGCCACACATATGAAAACCCAGTTTGAAACAATAATTGCCTCTATATAAGAAACCCAGTTAGTTTGACCATTTTCGTCAAATGTTTTTAACATATGGTAACAGGCACACGGATATCTTGTTTCATGTAATCTAAGCAGTTGACACCAGTACTTAATACAACGACTGTTATAGTGTACACACAGTGATGTTCTTCCCAGCTCTCCTAGAATTGGATTTGTTGATGTTCTTTTACCAACGGAAAGAACTCTTTTAAAGAAATTACTCTGAACCTTTTCAATGCTTCTATTCTTTAAATCAAATATTTTAGCAGCAGTAGAAAATGGGAGAGATGGGAAATTCTTTATCATATTCAACACAGGAAAAGTCGCTTTCCTTGCTTGAATAGCTAGTGTATCACATGCTTTAGTCAATAACAAGCCTCGAAGAGAATAGTAGACCAAGGTATTTGAAATATGATACAAATTCAACTTGCAAACCTTTATACAACCATTTCTCAGCTTTCCTCAGATAACCACTCTTTCTAAAAATTATGACTTTTGTCTTATCTAAATTAACTTCAAGGCCCAATTTGTCAAGATAAGAGCCTAAAGTATCTAGTTTTCTCTGCAGTCCAATTACAGAATCATAAATAAGAGGGACATCATCAGCAATTAATAATAACATGATTTCATCAAAAACTATCTTTCACAAATATGCCTCTTAGCCCAAGAATCTCCATTTCACGTACAAACACGTTTATAAAAAGTATAAAAAGAACAGGACTCAACATGCATCCTTGTCTCACACCACTTGTTGTGTTAAAAAGACTTGTTTCACATCTTCAACCCTCACACATGCTTTTTAATGTCCTACATGTTTCTAAGGATAATAAACATTTTACCATAAGGACCTCTATTTAATAACACGTATAACAACTTATTTCTATCTACATAGTCGAAGGCTTTTCTAAAGTCTATGAAACAGGCATAAAATATGTGGTTTGATTTTCTAAGATATTTCTGACAGAGGGATTGAAGAACAAACAAATGATCAGTAGTGAAATAATCATTTCTAAATCCCGCCTGGGCTTCGTGTAGCATATCATTAACTTTGCTCAAGTTTCGTATTCTCAGTTCCAGTACTGAAGTGAAAATTTAACCAAAAATAACAATAACAATAACAATAACTAACAATATTTAAAAGCGAAATTCCCCTGAAATTATCCGGATTTCGAGCGTCACCTTTTGCATACAGTGGGTCAATCATTCCTATATTCCACTCATCTGGAAATTCGCCATGATCAAATACAGAATTATAAAGTATATTTAAATATGACACAATGGAAAGAGCATTTTTGTAAAATTCAGAAAGAACACCGTCAATACCAGGTGCTTTACCAGACTTTAAACTTCTAATAGCTGCCCTTAAAGGCCAATATGGCTTCTGACAGTATATCTGTAGTATTACAAAAGTCACAGTTATCATAATCATGTTTGATAATAAACTTGATCATATTTACATTAAAATCACTATGTGGTTTTGTATCTTTGATATTTAGCAATTATTTGAAGTAGTTGTACCAATCAGAACTTGTTACACTGTTGTGAACACTGCTAGAGCGCAGCAAGGATTTCATCTTTCTCTAGAACATTTTACAGTCGTTTGACTGTACAGCAGATTCAATATCGTGAACGACAGACATTTTAAAGCTGTTTTTCTTTTCATAACACAATTTACGGTATATCTTCTTTGCTGTCTGGTAATTTTCTTAATTTGCTCCAGATCTGTAGTTCCTTAGAAAATGTAAACATTTTTATTTATTTCTCTTGGCACATAAACAGTCGAACCATGGAGGTTGTCTTAATTTATCATATGATCAAGTTCTATTTACAGCTTTAAATTTATCGCCAGCATATTGGAGTAATTCGACAATCCAGTGATGGATATCATGAGCTTCGATCCACGCAGTTGGGACACAATGACATGCATCAACCAAGTCAGCGAGCCTGACCATCCGATCCCGTTAGTCGCCTCTTACGACAGGCATAGTCGCCGTTTCAGAAGTACCAGCATGTAAAATGATAAGACGTTGCCCTTTCCCGGGCATCAAAGTGTCAACGATCATATTAAAGACATATGTAGTCTGTTGCAAGGCTCTTTTTCACCCAAGTTTCATCGACATATATGATGTCAAATCTTACCTATGTTGTCAGTTTCACAATGTTGTATATTTTACAACACGGTGTATAATTTACGGATCTTTTCTTTTTATGGTTCGTTTCTTTTTCCACTCTTAAC